TATATATATATATATATATATATATATATATAATGAATAATATACCTTTCTTGTCATTGCAAGTAGAATTAGTTGGCTTATGTTATAATCTGTCTGATATTCATACATGCACACACATACATTGCATATATATATATGCACACACATATATTGCATATATATGCACACACACTCGCACACACACACACTCACACGCACACACACACACACATATATATATATATATATATATATATATATATATATATATATATATATATATATATATATATATATATATATATATATATATATATATATATATATATACATATATATATGCACAAATATATATTATAACAAACATACCTTCATTGTCATCGCAAGCTATCCAAATTTGGTTATATTTTTCTATATAACATAACTCACGTGGGTTATGTGTAGAAGATAATGTTTTCAGTCCAAAAACCAATTGAAAAGTTGGAGACAGTAACACATTTAGAGCATCTTTAGCTTGAGGTCTTTTGGAAGGCTCTTGATGCCACATTGATTTCATCAACTTTGTTAAATGAACTAATCCATAAAAAGCATGAGGAATGTCATAAAACATTGGTCGAAATCCCATTTTAACATTCTGATCTATTTCATATCCTTCTGAAACATCATGAAAAGGCCTTTTATATGCAATTAACTCGTAAAGAAACATTCCAAATGAGTATATATCAACACTTGAATTATATTCATCTAAAGATGATTGGTACAAAATCATTTCTGGAGCAGTGAAACCTTTGGTGCCATTTAATGTTTTCATACCAGACGGACTCATGAAGTTTGCTGTACCAAAATCAGTTAACTTGATATTGATTTTTGCATCATGACTAAGCGAGAATAATAAAATATTATCTGATTTTATATCGCGATGAATAATATATTTTTTATGCATAAAAGCTATAGCACTTGCTAATTGCTGACAAATTCGAAACTTAACAATTCTAGGAATAATTTCAGATTTTTTATAAATGACAGATGATAAAGCACCATGACTAGCCCGTTCCATCACAACACATAATTCTGGTTTCAGTGAGAAACCTAAAAATTGAATTATGTATGGATGATGACGCAATTTACTGAGCATTATAACTTCTTGTCGAATTTTGTAAAACTGATTCAATGATGATGAAATTTCATCTGTGTTGTTGATCTTGAATTTATAAAACTTTATTGCCGAACTAATTTTGTTTTTACATTTGCCACTATACACTTTTCCGTATTGCCCTTCTCCCAGTTTATATTTCTCATTTTGTTCGCATTGAAAATCGTTAGAAGTAAATTTCATTGTTTTTGGTAAATCTTGGAAAGTAAGATCTGGACAAAATTCCTCTATATTTACTGTTCTTGGATTATGAAATTGTTCACATATTACCTTACAAACATTTTCTTCTGAAAATTTATATATTTTTTCAAAAGCAGTACTTATATTAAAAGTGTGAGGTTGATTTAAACCCAAACTTGTACAAACAGGACATGCCAATGAAGAAACAACAGTATCTGAATTCAATAGACCTTCATACCACTCTTCCAAAAGTGTTCTAATATGATCAACAATATAGCCAAGAACACGAAAACCTAGAGGGGATTTAGATACATGTATTTCAATTGTTTCTTGATCAGGTTTTACTGTGCTATTTAACTGTTGTATAGAAAAATACAAATCTGGGTGATTAAATATAATGCCTTTATTCCAGCAACTTAAATAGCCTTTGTCTAAGAGATAAGCGAGTTCATTGCAATCATTAAAATATTCTTCATATTCTTCATCATTATTTGAAAGCTCCTTAATAAGTTGAGCATTGTCTTCATCATCTTTTTCTGATTGTTTTTTTTCATGATCTTGTTTTGAAATAAATTCAGTTGAAGTATTTAAGGAATCTGTAAGGTCAATATTTTTTGAATCATTTTGATTTACTTCTTTATCCGCATTGAAACTAAAAGTTAAACTATCTTTTTCTGCAACTCTTTCACTTGTACTTTCTTTAACTTTAAGGATAACACAATCTACAAGTTCTTGCAATACATTTATTACATCACTTTCAAGATGGTGCAAACAATGACAATTTCCCATGATAGGAAAATTAACTTTATCAGTCATTTTACTAAAATCACCATTAGAATTATAAAAATTTTTGCAGCCTTGTTCACAGTTATTATCTTCTACACTTTCTACCGAAAGAACTTTAGGTCTTGATTCGATTTTTGGATTTGATAACATTTCTTTAGTTATTGACAAAAAACGAGTAATAAATCGAGCCCAAAATCCATATGGAACGCAATTAAAAAAATAGTAACGAGTAAGAAGTCTGCTTGAGTCAAATGTATGTTTTGGAGAAATTATTGAAAGTTTTGATGGAACAAGAATTCTGTGATCATCAATTTCACAAGCAACCTGGAAACGCCATAGTAACTTTAAATAATTTCTTATTGTGTCCTGATTATCGATGCCCCAATCTCTTCCTAAAATCAACTTCAAAACAAAAAATTATTGTGGTAAACAACAACATTATAACTAATTATAAGAGAATAAAAATTAAGTAATAATTGAATAAAAAATAATATAACATATTTATTTTATATATATAATATATATATATATCTATATATATATATAAATATATATATATATATATATATATATATATATATATATATATATATATATATATATATATATATATATAAATTAGTAGAAAGTCACTTAGCAAAACTTTTTCTCATTCAACACTGTGTTTCATCAATAAAGACTCATCAGAAATGTATTATATATATATATATATATATTATATATATATATATATATATATATATATATATATATATATATATATATATATATATGTATATATATATATATATATATATATATATATATATATATATATATATATATATATATATATATATAGTGATGCTATTTCGTGCCCCATATATATATATATATATATATATATATATATATATATATATATATATATATATATCAATAAGGACTCATATACATCAATAAAGACTCATCAGAAATGTATTATATATATATATATATACATATACATATATATATATATATATATATATATATATATATATATATATATAATATATATATATATATATATATATATATATATATATATATATATATATATATATATATAGTGATGCTATTTCGTGCCTATACTATCAAGAAAGTGCTTGATGAACGAAGTCAGAGCTATAATATATATATATATATATATATATATATATATATATATATATATATATATATATATATATATATATAAATATATATATATATATATATATATATATATATATATATATATATATATATATATATGTATATATATATATATACATATACATATATATATATATATATATATATATATATATATATATATATATATATATATATATATATATATATATATATATATATATATATATATATATATAGTGATGCTATTTCGTGCCTATACTATCAAGAAAGTGCTTGATGAACGAAGTCAGAGCTATAATATATATATATATATATATATATATATATATATATATATATATATATATATATATATATATATATATATATAAATATATATATATATATATATATATATATATATATATATATATATATATATATATGTGTATATATAGTAGAAAATAAAACTACGTGATTTTCACAACTTTAAGTTTCATGCTGTTACAATCATTAAGTGAAATACAAATATAGTTTGTTCGTTTAAAAATTATAAACAATTGAAACTATACAGAAAAAACCTATACGGAAAAAACTTTTTTTATTGTTACAACCGAGTGTATCTAATCTTCAGGTTTGTGGTTGCTTAATAGAAATTTATTTTCCTGACAACACTTGGAAATTAATTCTGACTTTTTATTAAGTAGCTTCAGCATTTTTATAAAGTAAAAGGATTAGTTTTTCATATAAACAAAGTAAACATTTTTTTGTTGCATTGTTGTAGGCGGGAGCTTTTTTTAGGATACACCAAGTTAATTCAGGTGTTTCTTTCAGTTTTTCCTTAAGTTTCCCATATATGTTTTGAGAGAGTGGTTGCATTTAAAAGTTTCTTATTTGCTGGGCGTGTTTGGGGAAGATGTTATACATTTGTAAATGATGTTTGTCGCTCTGCAATTTTTATTTAGCGGGCAGATTTCTTTTTGTTTACAATTACAAAAGGGAGATTTTCAGTCATGTTAATTAAATTTATTTTTTTGTTGTGACTTTTTATGATTTTCGAAATGTTGTTTGAGCAGCTGTAGTTAATTTTTGTAGTGTTTCGATTAAATAGTTTATACAATAGGTTTGAAGGTGGGAAATGTTTATCTATTAATTGCAAAAAAATTTGGTCAACATTGGTAGAGACATTGTATTGTAAGGTGGGTTAAACCAAATTATATTCCTTTTTCTTTTTGGAGGTGTCTTATCTTTTAGGTTGTACTTTAAGTTAAAATTTTTAAAATCGTTTTGTTTAAGTGCTTCTTCCTATTCTGTTTTTGATGCATTAAATATTTTTTCATCAAAAGAATTTTATGATCATTATTGGAGAGAGGGGTTTGCTTAAGGACTTGGGGCGGGTGGTTTAATTCAGTGTGGATGTAATGCAGTTTGTTTTTTAAAAGGTTGGTAGGAGTTTTTTGAAGATTAAAAATTATGTCAAGAAAATTAACACTATTTAGATTGGTTTGAATCTCTGTTTGAAATCCGATCTTTTTAAATATCTTAATTATATTTTTTATTATTTTGTCTAACTGTGTGGTAGTTTTTTTGCGCACCACCATCAATCCGTCGTCTCAGTAAAAACATATATCATTTTTAGTAATGGTTTTGGATAAAGAGTTTAGAATGTATAAACCCACCAGTTCACATACTTCGGCTCCATCAAAACAGCCCATTATGACATTAAAACATTTATTATAAGCTTTTTTATCCAAGTTTTATTTTTAAAAAATAATAGCGACTTTCTGCAAGATTAGATACACCCGGTTGTAACAATAATAAAAGTTTTTTCCGTATAGGTTTTTTCTGTATAGTTTCAATTGTATATAATTTTTAAACAATCTATATATATATCTATATCTATATCTATATATATATATAAAAAACAAACAAAAAAGCCCAATAAGATTAACTGGACTGATGAGAGACAGTTACAAAAAGAAAAACAGCTTTTAATGCGAAAAAACTTAAGGCAAAATAAACACGATTATAAAATTTAAATATTTTAGAACCGTCGCTCTTTTATAATTTTTATATAAAATTAAGTGACATTTTTTATATCAAGTAACAACTTACAATTAATGATTGTTTAATAAGGAAACAAATGATCTTTGCTTTATCAAAGAGTATATATATTTTTTATTATATATTTATGTCTTATTTCCAGTCTTATTTATATATTTATGTCTTATTTTATGTCTTATTTATATATTTATGTCTTTTTTCCAGTGCTGGATAACCCCTGAGGACGTGGGGAGTACCGAAGGGCTATAGCCCCGGTACTCACAATGTTAGGGGTTGCGAAATAGTCAAGAGGACCATTCGCTATTTTTTTAGTCATTTTTACGCTGAGGCACTTAAAAAAGGCCACCAAAATAATAATGTCTAAATGCCTCTGCGTACAATTTGATGCTGATGTATGATATAAAACTGAAATAATAGCCAGTTAAATACCGCGAGCATAGTATAGCTGTTGATTAATCTGTAATAGTTTTCCAATTTTTTTCATTACGCTGGCTCTATCTGTCTTTATGCACACAATACTATTTTCAAGATTTAAACCAAACGCGAAGAGTTTTTCTGTAAAGTAAAATTAAACACTTTTCAGCTGGCATTGTCCATACAATCCTTACTAAATCTAAATTTCAAAAATTAATTGCACTGTTAATTTCTTGTCTTAATTCATTTCTTATACCATTATTTATATTGTTAGAAAAATCAAGTACCACTTTTTTAATAGTGTTTGGAAATTTAAGTATGTTGACAAATCGCCTAGTTTCTTACTATTTTGTCATAAACGCGCCAGTAGTGATAACAATATATAAGATCGATTAAACTTACTTTAAACTTATGAATCAATAATGAAAACTTTGCATTGCATTGGTGCTAAATATTTTGTTGTTACTTTCATTTTTGTTGTTACTTTCATTTTATTTGACACAATTTAAATGCAGGTATTAATCGTAGTTTTATAAATTCTAATATTGAAATAATCTCGGGAATTTGGGGTTAAAAGTTAGACGGGATCCCGGGATTTTGGGATCCATGATTGCAAACCCTAGTTATCGGGTAAACTGAGGAAAATGGATTAATGGTTAAAATTATTTGTATTAACTTTGATGATTATTAATAATTTCATGAAAAACACAGTTATTATTGAAAGCATTTTTGTTTACAAAATCAATCACACAAATTGCTTTAAAAGATTACATTTGAATAAAATAGACATACATAAAATTACATACATAAAAAACACATTATATACATAAAAATACATTACATACATAAAAAATACACCCCTTATATTTAAAAATAAGAATATACTAATAAAATCTATAATACATTTACAAAACGTTGACAAGTTAAAAAGTATAAATCTAAAACATTTATTTTTGTAAACAAATTATGTTAGTTTAAAAAATTTATAGCTTTGTAGATGTGGCTCCGAGAATTAAAATAATAATTTGTAATTAAAATAATAGTTCTTAAAACAATTTATGCAAGAAATCTCAACGAAAACATAACAAAACTCAAATAATACAATTTTTAAAAATATTTCAACAGAATACTCTAGAACATTTGGTTAGTGTTTTTTGAATATTCTAGATATTTCGGTTAGTATTTTTTGAACCAATTAAATTAGTTGTTTGTAGATTTGGTGGGTTATTTGTATTCGCAAATATTATTTTTTTATTTTTTTGCACAAAGATGTTTGAGAACATTCGAGTTTATGTATTCTTCCATATATGTCTGTAAAACAAAATATTTTAAAATTTACGATAAAATAAAGAACTTGATTTTTATTTTGTGGACAAACAAGGAAACATACATAAACTTAAATGTTCTCAAAACAACTGAAAAATCTGGTCGGTTTTCCGCAACAAAATATTATTTCAGTGGTCTATTATCGAGTGCGATCGAGTGGTCTATTATTGAGTGCTTCCCGACCAAGCCTGATATATATATATATATATATATATATATATATATATATATATATATATATATATATATATATATATATATATATATTACAATATAATATATAAATATATACAAATATATTTATTTTTAAAAAATAACTGTTTTCTTTTTTGATTTTTCTCTCATTTTTTTGGGAAATAATTCATATTTATATGGGATTGAATTCATATTTTAATTTCAGATATAAATAAATAGGGCAATTAATACTGAAATTTTTATTTTATTTTGGCATGTCTAAATGT